CGTCAATGTACACCTTTAGATTTTGCGAAATTTCTTTTTTTGCCCATAACTCCTAAACCCTTGGAGATACGAGAAAATTGCATAGGACCTTTCTTGTAGACTACGGCGAGATCTACAATCTCCATCTAAAAAGATTTCGCTAGTGTCAATAGTTAACGAGTTATTTGCAAAAAACCGTTTTTTGGTTTTTTTCAAATAACTCGTTGAATATTAATGGCAGCGAAATCTTTTTAGATAGAGATTGTAGACCTCGTCGTCCTCTACAAAATGGTCCTATAAACGTCCGCCTAAGTCCATCGGTTTGGAAGTTATTGGCAAAAAACGAAAATTTCGCAAAATCTGAGGGGGTACCCCTTAGGAAAAATCTCGGAAAAATTAAAAATTTCTTTTGTCAAGATATCGATAAATACTTAAAATAAAAGCTGTTGATACTACTATTACCTGCAAGAAAGGTCATATAACATTTGTTTCTATGTCAAATACATCAAGAGTCATCGATTAATCCGTTCGGTCATCGTCAATTATTCCTTATTGTATATTGTATATAACAATTTAATACCGAGATTATTCGCTCTGATAATTGTAACATTATTCAACGATTTCTTTTAGAATTAATTCGGAGCATCCCTGCGTTTCTTGTTCCTTGCATTTTGATTTTGGCTCCACGTAGAGTCGATCGGTCAGGTTGTACTAGGTCACCACCATTTCCCAGAATGGCGAGGCGAGCCTTGTTTTCACTTGCAAATTTCCCGAGTCGTTATAAAGCGACGATAATAGAGAGAAATATCAATTTAATATAATTATTAATCGTTGACTCTAGATTAGTACCTAATATTTCTTAGTTAACGGAGGGATCAGTTTTAATACCATCGCACTGTGTATCAAAGGAAACTAGTGTTAATGGTTGATTTCTACACGTAAACCTTGGCTGAGTGTGCTAACCAAGAAAGAGATAGCAATTTTTTTCTTCCCACATGTTTTTCTCATTTCGTTCGACCAAATACCGAAGTGAAACGATCCGAGATTGTTAGGAATCATCCCAGTAAATTAAAATGAGTAAGAAAAGGAATCGACAGGGCGATTTTAATGGGGAATTCAGCGATGATTCGACGGATTCTTCCAACGAATCCAGCACTACAGGTTAGATACAGTTTTATTTATAAAATCGAGTTACGCGTGTTCAAAACGAAAATAGTTGATTCCCACTGAACCAGTGAATAATACCTTAATTATTCTATTTTTGATCTCGATATTTATTTATAGGAACCAACTGTATGCATGTTACCAAGGCATTGAATTTCACCAAAATAAAGAAGAGCATCAACAAGGAGGGAATGACTAAGGAATGTTCCACTTGCAAGAAATATGAAATCAATGAGGAGAAACTCAAGAATGATACGGTAAGAAAAAGTTATTCTTGCTTATCATTTTAAATAGGAAATCGGTGATCATGTTTTAATTTATTCATTTAAGAATTCTGAGGAGCAGCCAAATATTCTGATTTGTTTACAATGCGGTCACCAAGGTTGTGGAAAAGAAGACGAAGGTCATGCTTTCGAACATTATAAGAAACCGTTCAGTGATTGCCATTCGATGGCTGTCGAAACTACAAATTGGTCTGTGTGGTGTTTCCAATGCGGTATGAAAGTGAATATTGCCAATAGAAAAAAGCTTCAGGAGTCAGTGGACTTCATTAAGAAATCGTTAGCTGTGAAATCACTGCAGACAAAAATAGTACAAGCTCAGAATCAGAAAGAAATGATCGATGTCGATGAGAAGGAGAAGAAGGGTTCAGACAGTTTTCCAAAAGTCGGAGTACGTGTAAAAGAAGTCCTTTACTTCGATAAACCTGAGGACCTTTTACTATCCAATTTCATTTTCCAGGGATTAATTAATATGGGAAATACATGTTTCTTCAACGCAGTTCTTCAGTGCTTGGCTCAGACTCCTTTCTTAGTTAAAGTCTTAGACGATTTACGTCTTCCTGGACAAGAATTCACTTTGCCTGGTGGGAAGCTCAAATTACCCAACAGCGAAGAGGAAATAGAACTTGTAAATCACCCCTTTCAGTAGTAATCGATAGTTCATATGTACATGAAAAATAAAAAAATTATTTTTTATAGCCGCCCATTAAAGGAACTCTCGAAGGCTGGGGCACCTTTACATCTATATTATCAAAGGTTTTAATAGATATGCAAAATACGGATGGCTCCCAGCCTTACAGACCCTCGGAGCTGTTAAATTCTTTCAAAAAGAAGAACATGCAATGTATGGACGGTGGTCAACACGATTCCCATGAATTGCTGAGGCATCTTTTAGAAATAGCTAGAAACGAAGATCTCAGGGTTTGTATATTTTCGTATAAAACGTTGTAAATATGGATTATCTGACTGATAGATGATCGTGTTCAGAGGTATCAAAGCATCATTTTGAAGGAAGTAGGCCTTAACGGGAAGACTAATCCAGAAGACGTAGAGAACACCTTGAAATCTCGAGTTAAATTCTATGGGAATCAAGCGAGTTCGAGATTATTGGGGCCGGAGCCAGTTTTCCGTGGAGTTCTGGTCTCTACTTTGGAGTGTCTTGATTGCGGCCACACTTCTCATAATTCTGAGCAGTTTCTGGATCTTAGTTTACCTGTAATTGCTGATAAACCGCAACCACCGATTTTAAGGTAAAACTCGTTGACGGAGTCTACCGAAGAACAATAAATTAATGTTTAATATTTTTTTAAGAAGGAAGAACAATGGGAACGAAGATTCGTTCGATATGACTGGGAACGTTATAACAAATAATACGCCGTCTAAGCATCAACTGAAGAAGGAGAAGAAAGCGGCGAGGAAGAATCGAAAGAATAAGAGAGACGGTACTTTGAACTCTCACGACGGTATAAATAATTGGGTAGATAAGTCTGCTAACAACGAGGAAAATAATGATATGAACGAATCAGGTAAACCAGAGGCTAATAGAATATTTATTACAAAATATCTGTAAGAATTCTTGTAAAAAGAAATTATTCTATAGAGGAAAGCGATGCGGACGTTGAAGATAACACGGAAACGGAAATAGCAATCCCGGAAGTTGGGGAATCCGGTTATAGTTCGGAGAAACAGTCTACTTTACCTAGTCCAGCTTCTCCATCGAACGAATCGGTAAAAGCCAATGAAGATTCGATGAAGACCAACGAGTATCCGTTGAGAGCGAGGGAAGATTTGTTGAAGCACGAGCGTTCTATGGGAACCAGCGAGGATTCGTTGAAGATGAACGATTATTCGGTTAAAACCGAAGCGGAAACCATAAAACTAAGGGAAAGTTCTATTAAGAGAATCGAAACCGCCTTACATTACACGGAAATAAGTATGAACAATCCAGAGAACGGGTCGTTATTGCAGACCATAGATACAAATAATATGAACGCGAATTTCTCGGATACAAAAAATTTGGAACCGTTGAAATGCTTCGAGATGACGGAGAATGGGAACAACGCTGGACGTATTTTACCTTTGTGCTCAAACTTAGACGATCATTTGGCTCTGAACTTGTCTTTAGACAACCCGTCATCTCGAATTACGAGTTTAACTCTGTACAATCCTAACGAAGATCGGAGTATCATGAGTGGCAATAATGTACTATTAATAAAGAACAAAGAAAAAGAAGAGGACGACGAAGAAGAGGAAACAGCGTACAACAAACAATGGTATTATGTCTTGTAACTGTAGAATTAAAAACGAAGTAAATTTCTTACCCGCTCGATCGTTTAATAGGAAAATCCGGAGGAAACTGGACTCTCCGATAGAAATTAATAGTATCACTTTCGGGATAGCGAAAATGGGAATTAATAGTAATTTAAAAACTTGTCTACGCGACGCTCCCGCGTGTCTCGACGAAGCGCCGACTAGGTATCCGACTAAGGAAGGCGAATGCTCTATCCAGTCCTGTCTAAACCAATTCACAGCCTTAGAATTAATGACCGGAAGCAACAAAGTCGGATGCGAGGCTTGCACTCAAAGAGAAACAAAGGTAACGTAACGTAATCGATATTTCAGCTGCCTACATCGATATTAATTAATTAATTTTCAGGCTAAAAACAATAATGCGGATACTAAAATGGTATGTACACCGAGCACCAAGCAGTATCTAATCTCCAAAGTTCCGGCCGTGTTAATTCTCCATTTAAAACGTTTCCAAGCTCAAAGAGTGGATTTTCGAAAAGTTACGAGGCACGTTAGCTTTCCTATTTTATTAGATTTGGCACCGATTTGCAAGAATCATCGGAAACCGAGGATATACGCTCTCTATGGTGTCGTAGAACACAGTGGAACCATACATGGTGGCCATTACGTAGCTTACGTGAAGGTACATATTGTAATTACTTTGGTCTCGAGTTTTTTTTAATCATGAACTGTTCGTGCTTTCAGTCCCGATTACCGTTGGCGCCTGACGATCCTCGATGGTCGTTTTTACCATCTAAAGATGAGAACGAAGCGTCGACGCCGGAATCCGGGGAGGAAACGCGAAGGAAAGAGGAGGACGAAGAGGAAACGGACGAAGCGATCGGGGATAATTCTGTAAAAATCGAACCACCGCCTGGGAAGTGGTACTACATATCAGATTCGCAAGTAACGGAAGTAGACGAAGCCACAGTTTTAAGAAGACAGGCTTACCTTTTGTTTTACGAGCGAATTCTGTGAATGTTTAAATTTTATTTTTAACAGAGAGCATCGTAAGATATTGATTGAGACTTCATTTAGAATCAATTTAGTTCGGTGGTTTGATTATACAATTGTATTTGTGTAATTGAACGAGAGAACTTCTACGTTTAGGATGATGTCAGAGATAAACGAGATTTAGTTTCCTCGTGATCGTAATTACCGTTGTGAAACGTTATTTTACGTGTGTAATCAATCGGAAATAGAGAGAACACTTCTTTAAACAATAATTCGAAAATCGATTATTTTATGAACAGTGTTATGCTGAACTTTTGATACAAATCTGATATCATGTAAGTTCATTTCAACTTTTAATCCTTGAACATTGTATTTATGTGTTTCCCTCTATATGTTTATGCATTTATATGATATTAATAAATATAGTGTAAAAAATGAGAGATTCGTATTATCGTTTCTCCAGTTAAATTTGAAGAGAGGAAATGAGAGTGCTTACGGTCGGGATTTCAGAGTTCCACCTGAATTATCGCGGCGTCTGAAGATAATGTCACTGAGGTAAATACGAATTCTCATATGTTGGAACGATAGGAAATCCGAATCACTTCAACGTCCTCCTCTCACAGATGTCGCAATCTGGTCGAAATATGAATTTCGCTACGTAAAATTATTCCTTGAAATATTACATATTGAAAAATGATGTACGAAATGTATAGAAGGAATAAAACGAAGCAGTGAATAAAAAAAGCTTGACGTGAAATCTCAACAGCGTTCGTTAAAAATTTCGTGCGCTCGCACATTTTCCTCTAGTCTGGATTCAAACGACGCGTTAATTAATAAACTTTTAATTATTCTTTCCCATCAAATAACTTGTCGCCTTGGGAAATGAAATTTACAAATCTATAATTCGTTTTTAAATGAGAATTATCGAGTGCAGTATCTAGAAAAATTCCAAGGGCGTCATTAAACGTAATTGTCGGCCTTAACGAAACAGTCCTGCATCGTTAATATCGCTAGAAACCAGTTTATTCTTCCGATCTCTTTTTTCAATAAGCAAAAATCCTCTTTTAATAAATGCTCGATACTTCATACTTACTGTACTTAATTCTGAGATTGCGAGACCAAAAATCAGTTTATTGTCTGGATTATTTTTTCCAAGAATCAAAATTCTCTCTTAATGAGTGAAATTGATATAAATCATTTTAAAGACGTATAGAAGAGACGAGAATGATAGAAGGTAGTATGGTTTTGTTCAGAAACTTTATTTATTACATACACTAGCCGACTACTATGCATGCGTTGGGGCATTCGGATACGGGGAGACTTGCTTGAGATCCGAAGCGCGTTGTTTTAAGTCTGTCTCACAAACACAACAGCGGTGTACCATATTTCTTTATATCACCCTTACCACCGTGGTTACCTCGTCCCGCAATTTTATCGTTTAAATTATAGTGCGTTATGTTATGTTTATAGTCCGGTAGATCTAAGGCGAGCGAAATCCCCTTCGTCAAAATTCATGTCTATATAAATCGAATTGATCGTTAAATAAAAAAACGCGATCAGGATTGAATGAAATGTCTTACAATTGCAAGCGAAGGTGAGATATCGTCCGACTTAGCGTTCCTCGTAACCACATATATTCGCATTTATATTTTTCTTATTTATATATATATATATATATATACTTTGTATTTATATATTTATATACAGTGGGGGTAAGGTAACGGCGCCATCGCGGCGCGGAAAAATTGAAGAATAAAAATCAGCCGGAATATATGAAAAAGAAACGCGTCAGTTCCAGGATGGAAAGAATGATTTTTTTTTTAATGACTCTCCATGCCGAGGTCCGAATCCCTTTAGTCAAAATTAGAATACTACCGATCGAATTTGCATCCCGGGGTGAATTGTAATCAGCTCCGAGCGTGCAGCTCGCCCGTCAAGGCACCATTACCCTGACGACCACCTCGCGTAGTGTTGTATCCGTAAATAAAGTATGATACCTTACAGATCTATAACTTATACCGACATATTGCACATTTGACAACAGTTACGTCTTTTCGTTAAGTACTTGGGTATAGGAAGTGTCCGCTAATAAACATATTCCGTTGCACTCCGTCTCGCTGCCCATAAAACTTCAGTCCCATTCATTCACAAACACTTACACACGGTCTCGTAATTAATTAATTAATTTAATTGGTAATAATAATAATAATAATAATAATAATAATAATAATAATAATAATAATCGATCGACAATTCAGATCATTGGAGAGAGCGTATCGTCGCTCCGAAGCCACGTCGTAAAAGGCGCGTCCGAGGTCAGAGTTCGATGTGTCCGGTGGGTTTTTTCACTCAATTGTTGTTTGTTCGTTCGTTCGTTGCAATGTTTTTTCGGTGGTCTAAAGGCGAAACAGGTTCTTCACAAAATTACTCGATTGCACTCTTACTTCGTCTTTCTCTCCCTCCCTCTCAGCCGTGGTCGCCACGCATACAACGTATATTATAATATATTTATACTCCCACTATTTAAAGCAACTATAACTCCTAATTAGTTGTTCGTCATCCACTTGGTGTCGATTCGTCCGGTTTCGACTTTTAAACGAGAAGATCTCGACGGTGAGTGGAGACGATCGATGATTCGTCATTGTACTTGGCCGTCCATAGGCCACCGTTTCGTTGAATGAGGACCGGCTCGAAGTGATTCTCGTTGTCCGTCACCCTTCGCCGAAGGAGACGAGCGAAACGCGAGAAAACTGCATAGGCCCTGCGCGATTACTTCGATTGACGCAGCCCTGTGATTCGTATTCGTTGTGTGATCATAGATACGGCGTCCGGACGCCCGTAGTACGGGCGGACGCGTTTACCCTGATTCGTCGAAATTAGATTACTCGATGATAGAGAAGGGATTTTTGGGGAAAGACTCGAAGCTCGCAGACGCTCGAGCCGTCCGCGAGGAATGTCGAGTGTTCTGTTCCCTAAAGGTGAATCGAGCGTCTTCTGGTTTCGATGAAGGAATGCCGGAACGGTGATTAAACGGAGGCGTGAAGCGTGCTCGACTGGGGTCCTGCAGGGTACGAGGTGCTGGTAGGCGCAGCTGTCGGCTGCAGGCTCAATTGCAGCTGATGCTGCTGCGCTTTCGCCCTCAAACACGCGATGCTCTCGTTCCTTAGCTGCTCCGTGTCCTGAACGATTCCTAATAAACAGAGTTCAATCAATTTCTTCTATCACAGAATTTAACTAACATTTTTTATATAATTTCATGGCTGGGAATAGAATTGTGAAGGACGCTGTACCTGCCGAGGAGGATGGGCCCATTCCGTCTTGGCTCTCTTGTCCGCTCTCGGAGCTCGTCGGTCCGCCTTGATGGTGATTATGATGCGGGCTGCTTCCGCTTCCGTTGTGATCGTTGCCGCTGTCCTCCCCGCCTGACTTAAGGTGTTCTGCCGCTTCGATTGACTTCCGGTGCATCCCTGCGGGGCCACAGTCAATCATTTCTTGATTATTTTCGATATCTTGACTAAAGCTGCTCGTCTTAGATGATTGAGCTGACACAGACGAACAGAAAAACAATAGTCGAGACTCTTGTATAATTTCTGCTAGGATTGCTAAGTACTCCATCAATAAACCATTAGACCTTTAAAACAATCGTTCGAATTTCGTTCGCGAAATCTGAATAAACGTTTCCAACCGCGACAGAGAAACGGAGCTTAGGAATTTTATCTGACTCTCACCTAGCAACCATGGCGCGACCGACTCGTTCTCCTTCGCGCTTTTCAGTATGGTCTCCGGAAGCGGCAGTGAATGCCGCACCATCGCTCCGTATAAACCGTACTCCGCCATTATGGTACTCCTACCCCAACATTTCTCGGTTTTACGCCACTTCGCCCTCCGGTTTTGGAACCAGACCTGCAACAACCAAAATCACAGACCTCCCCTTTATACGTTTCCAAGTTTCGTCGCAAGATTTACGAACATCTTTCCTCGTCGATTCTACTGATTGTATCGCTGATAAATCACTGTGAGTAATCCTTGGGATAATTATTGGAATCGTAAACCTGAAGCTCGCCGAGCGCGTTTCTCGCCGTTTAATGATCATTGTCTGCTAATTGGAGTACTATGAGACCGGCGTGCGATCGGTTACGTGCGTGCGGTTCCACCGGCAGGCTCGTAGTTAACCATTAACGGTTAAACGATCGGGCGCGCGTTCGTTATCCCATTTTTCGCGGTCCGGCATCCCGTTAGGCTACTTGTTAACGATTCTGATCACGGGACCACCTACAGCGAAGTCGCGTGTCGGCTGCCCTTCGCCAACCCCCCCCCCCCCCCCCCCC